GGAAATCTTGGGCGAAAAGCGAAAATTGTTAATTAGTTGTGTCATTGCTACCCTCTTGTGTTTAAAAATGACTTTTTATAATTATTCCTTTTCGAGCGTGATTACGTGCTGATTAAAACTTCATAACGTTTTCACCATAAATAAAATAAAAAGACCTTATTTAGTATAAATGAAAAAATTCTTCATCAATTTTCAAAGCATGTTCGTGCATTTTCCATTTCTTTTTTTTTTGGTATTTTTCACGGTTTTTTGCGATTTTCATGAAGATGACTTTTCGAGAGGATAGAACATTTTTTTCTCGTATAATTCGAAAATCGTCAAAATATAATACATGCAGCATGTATCTATCTCAATGCGTTATTTCCTAAATAAAGCTTAATCTTTTCGGATAAGTAAATTTTTTTGATTATATAAAAGATTAGTGGAAAGTTAAAAAAAAAAATGGAAAATATAGATACAAATTTATTTTTCCGGCTGACGAGGGCTCTCCTCGCAATAACATTCTGAAGAATTTACACCGCTGGTGATCGCACCGACGTCAGATCGCCGCGAGGTCAGATCTAATCGTAGACAAAACGGGAGATCGGATTTCGAGAGAGATACTTACCGACGTACCGCGGACACGCGTGCAATTACCCGCCAGTTCCAGCGTGATTTATCGCCCGTACGTTTTCGCTAAAGCAAACAGGGCGTGCACCCGCGCTCGGCGCGCTCGCGTACGCGTGCTCGGCCGAGTTACAAAACTCATTAGCATACGTAATAGACGCGGAATTGTGTGCAAAAATGGGCCAGGATTGAGGTGAATTCGAATAAAAATCCCCAGCTAGGTCAATTTGCGGGTATCCGGGTGTGCGCAAATTGCACGGCCCGCGCGCTGTCCGGTTCTCCTGTTAACTGCGGGGCATGCTTTATCTATTCGATCGCTCTACAAGCATTTTGGATTCTGCGTGTATTCCAGCGACTGGTAATTCGATTCTGGGTGAAAAATAACAGGTTAATGGGCGGCGTCCAAGTCAAGCACGTAATAACATAGAGATCGCGAAAATGATCACCGATAATCGTGCCGACTACGATAAGGAATAGGCGAAAGAGAGAGTGAAAGTAAGTCGTCGCGAAGTTATCTCGTTGGCGATTTCCTGGCGTCCGCGATTATTACAAATCGATTGGATCTGAAACTATTGATACGTTCCCTTTTGCCGGATACTTTTGCGATAATTATTTTCCAACTTCTTTCCATAATTGAATAACACAGTCATAAAAACTTATATCTTTCCAAGTTTCTAAGAGAGTTTAATGGGAAAAGCATCGTTATTATCTTAATGTTTCATTGCCGTTTTTATCGCAGAAGAGATTCAATAAAAAGATACACTTTAAAAATGAAACTGTAGCAAAAAGCGTCGAATTTTTAAATAAGATCCTCGCTTCCATTCTCCCTCGTTTCGTGAACATTCGGTGAACTCGACGCTCTTACAGAGTTCTCATTTCTTTCAGAGTTGAAAAGTAACGCGTTACTATTTTCGTTACTTTTTTTTTCGATAACGATCATTACTTTTTTCTGTCTGTAACAGTAACGGTAACGTTGTTACATTTTTTACAGCAATTACTTTAATCTCTTATTCTCTTATATAAAATTATTCAATAGAATCGCGTTATTTTGTAATTGGCTAGAAATATTTTATAATAAAATATTGAAAGTCTGCAGTACATGAAATTTTCAATAAAATCTGCGTTTATAAATTACAATCGAATTTCCTGCAGATAATCATATATTAAAAAACATTAATATATAGAACTATCAAGGATTTATTAGATAAATATAAGCTTAATATAAAGAAAATTGTTATAAAACTAGCTCGGAATTTTAAATTTCAATATTGATTTTAATAATTAATATTGATTATTTAAATAATGTGTGTAATTTTTAAATCTAATATCTTACTTTAATATCATAAAAAAAGTAACGAAAAGTAATGATAATAGTAACGAGCTATTTCTTTTTACAAAAAATAATAGTAACACGTTACTTTTATAAAGTATAACGTTCTCAATCCTGATTTCTTCTGCGTGTCGCGAGAGGATTTTCTTCCGCTTCCGATTTTCTCGTGCCGATAATCGCGAGTAAAGAGACGCTTAAGGAAACCGACGCGTGAGTCTTTTCGAGACAAAAGTCTTCTAGCCTTAAGGATTGCGAACGGTGCTTTGAACTTGCAAACCCGCCGCTCGTGCAGTCGATGTCGGGTAGGAGAGAAACTGCTATGACAGTAGGAAACAGCGAAGCGGAATTTGGGGAATGGAGTCCGCCTGGAGCAGCCGGTCCATGGAAGGAACCAATGTACCGTGAGAAAGCGAACCCAGTCGAAACGACAGAAATGCCGATGGTGATTCCGAGGGTGAAACGACGACGAGCGACATGCGGGATGATGCTGTGGGAAAAACGCTGATCGTCGAAGATCTTTCGCGTATAAACGAACATTTTTACTCTAATTGTCTGCACTATCGTTTTCAAATTAATGAAAGACTAATAGAAAGACTCTTGCTGAAGGAACGTATCGGTTTCCAAGATATCGGCAGAGAGTTACGTCGTAATTGAGGGAAGAATGGCGGAATAATTGGCAGTACCGTAAATGACAAAGAACGCGGAAAAGCGACGATATATAGAATATCGCGCGGTAATAACCGGTTCTTTGACGAATTAAAAGCTAATTTTCTCTCCAACTGCAGCGCCAAGGTACCAATTGTTCTCGCTTCGATGAAACAACGGAAGAATTAAGTTCTCTTCCCGTTCTCTTATTTTCCCTCGAAAGTTCACGACCTATCTCGAAAACTATCCTCCGAAATAACGGATTCCATTTCGGTGCGTGCCCGCCTCCGCGAGCGGAGCGGCGCGGAAAGGAAGGCCCGGAAAAGCCGCGCGGGAAAATTTAATAAATCCTCTCCGCGTCTCAATTCTATCCAGAACTGAGACTCACGTTCGAAGTTAAGTTCGTTTCTCTCTCTCTCTCTCTCTCTCTCTCTCTCGCGATCTCTCTCCTATGAGACGCCCGCGTCCGCTCTCGACCCGCTAATAGCGACAAGTTACTTCTGACCCGTCAGCGGGGCAGACCCTTGCAACGTCTCTATATTTAGACCGGGTCGAACTACCAGAACGGCGAGAAAACACAAAAGAAAGTATACAAGCGCGAGATGCGGGCGAGATGCGATGCGGCTCTCCGGTGCATCGAGAGAAGACGGGAGAGAGAGAAAGAGAGAGAGAGAGAGAGAGAGGGACGCGAGGAAAGGACCGTTTCGAGACGACGATATCTCGACGTCGAAAGAAATCGGATTATGTCCTCCGTGGACCTCGCGACTTCTGGCTTGCAGCTGCGTTTACGGAGGCGGTCACAAAAACGCCGTCATACTCAAAGAGCCCGCTGCTGCATCTTTGCTGCCCTCTCGACGCTCGACAATAACGCGGAGACAAAAAGTCTGTCAACTCCTCGATGAGTTCGGAGTCGATTCCTCCTGGCAACTTTAAATCTACCACAAGAGGAATGCGGCGATTTTCGATAATTAAACGTCAAAGCTGCGAGATGACAAAATATTACGTTTTAGCTTCAAGTTGATTTTACTTTGGAAACTGACCCGCATTCGTGACTTCATTGAAAATGTTAAAGACGAAAAAAAAAAATCGGTGCTTTCATTCTAACGGACATCGAACTGAGCGAAGAATTAATGGACGAAGGCCGGTGTTGTAGGACATCGCGGACTCGTGTGGTTTATATTCGTTGCTTCGCGTACGAGAATCGGCGATGGTAAGGTCGACGCTGTATATTACAGTCAGACAATATCAGCGGCAAGAAAAAGAACAGCAAATTTATGAATGCGAGTTGAACACGACGCAGAAGCGTATTTAACGATTCATGGAACGTTTTTGTTCCTATTTCTGGAATTTAATTTCAGTACGGGTTCTTCGTCGGTAAAAGGCTTCGATAAAGAATGTATTATATATATATTCGCGGGCAAAGTGCAATAAAATTCACATTCAAATTTATTAATACTTTTGTATATATATTTTTTAAATTTATATTTCCAATCAAAAGAGAAAGAGAGAGAAATATGTGTGTGTTAAAATATAAATTTTATTTTTATTTTCTATAAATCGAATTCGCTATTTTTTTCCACTGCAAATCCTCGATAGTTATGTAAATAGCTATTTGTTTTTTTATTTATTTTATTTTTAATACAAAATCATTCTGCGTCAAATACGCCTGTTATATTATATTTGTATATGTTCATTTTGGCGATTCTGCGAGTGGCGTTTAATTGGAATTTGGCTCTCTGTTTCACTTCCGTTATGCTGATCGGCTGTAATTGATAACAATCAAATAACGTCGAACGGCAACAGTGAAAATTTAATTTTATGCAAACGTGAGATAAAGTCTTCTTCAATATCCCGAGTTTCCTTGAACATTCAGTGAAAGCGCGAAGAGTTATTCTCAGTTATTACTAATACAATTTGTACTTCATTTGAAAGCGAAGAATGTACTTCTTTTCTTTGAAACGGTTGAGAAAATTTACTTTCTTTTGTGGACACGAGTTTCTTTTCAAATATGTAAAATTTAAGAAACCGATCTTCACCAAATAATAGTTTAATGATGATTTTTTTGTATGATTATATTTTTGATACGCGCGCGCGCGTTTTAACATGGTAAACATAAACTGCAGTAACATTATAATAATATTAATGATTTCCCACTCAATAACATAAATGTAGGTAATACAAACACACGTTGTGCTAACAATTATATTGTGCTTAGGAAATTATAATATTGATGTTAGCGATCGTATTGTTGCTTGATGTTTACCAGGAATCAACATTTTTGTCAATATTCTAAACTCGACTGTGCTTTCTCAGGATATAGCAATAATCTTCACAATACCACGAGAGGCGCGTGATTAGAACTCAAGGTGTTAAGGGTACCTTCAGTTAATAGGCATTTCTGACGTATCTCGCAACTTACCCGGCACTGTCGAGAGGAGTATCAAACAAACCGCCAAGCCACTCATCTTCACTGATGGATCTGTTGTCTCGTACAACGCCAGCTCGCTTCAATCTCGTATCGACGATACTTTAACGTTTCCGCTGTTTCATCAGCCCAACTTAATGCAGGAAGGAAAAATTCAGTTCCCTTCGCGATCCTCTTCCTGTTTTTCTTTAAATTACTGCTCGCCTTGTCTCCCTACTAATTTCATACGAAGCATTAGATAAGCCGTTGGACAAAGATAAAACGTTTATTCACAGATTTTTGTGCGTAGTTATTTCGACGACATAAATTTGGGCGTTTCTTTTTATAGCATCGTAATGGTGAAGGAGAGTTGAATGTCCGCTAACGCGCACTTCCGAAGTCTATTTTTCGAGAAGTAAGTAAGAACCCGGCAAATGGAAACTAACAGTAATATTACATTACTGATATAATTTCATTCCTACTCAACAACATAAATATAATATAACGCATATATTGTACGTAAAAGTTATATTATTAAATGGAAAATTATAACATTGTTGCAATATTACTATTAGTTGGCAAATGCAAACCAACAGTAACATTACATTACTGATATAATTTAATTCCTACTCGACAACATAAATACAATATAACACATATTGTACGTAACAGTTATATCATTGAATGGAAAATTATAACATTAATGTTAATATTAGTTGATCGAAGAGAGAATCACGGACTTGCGTTTGCTGGAAAGAGTGATTAAAATTTAGCGTTTGAAGCATTTCAATTTATTTTTTATTAAAAATTCTAATAAAAAGTTAATTTAAATTGTATTGTACAAATCTTTTTTCGGTACATCTGCGTTTTCCTACGATACGTTAATACGATAAGAATTTAGTCCTTTCAATCGCCAAGGGACGGAATAAAACTTTTGGCTCTGTCTTCTGCACGAAGCTCGCTTTTACGGAATGACACGCGGATCTGTACTGCACTGCTGTGCCCAACGGCGTCGGGGGAAGCTTATCTCGCGTCGTCAGAACGGAAGCGGCATCGCGGCGAGTACCACGCGGATGCTGTGACTGACGCCGGTTACACGCTGCACGCCAAGCACACGGGACCAGTTCGAGGACCGAGTTAGACTGAACGCAAGTCCGTGATTCTCTCTTCGAGTTCTCTCAGCCCTACCTAAGGTACAAGGCGTACTGGGTATGGTACACTGGACTCGCCCGCCTCCCTGTGAATAACGTTTTCTTCCATCATTAGCCGTACACATAAATATACACACGCACATACCAGTGTGACACGCGCTCGCGTGTATCCATCCGAAAGCGGGATCGTCAAAGGGAAAATGAAATCATCGGTATAGAACGACTGTCGCACTTGATTCGTTGAAGTTTCATCAGGAGAGGAAATTGGGAAGTGTAATATTCCACGAAGAGTGGATTCGTCCTCATCAGAGCTTCATACATCTGAAAAATTGAAATTGCGCCAATTAGCGTGAAAGAATATTAGGCAAAATTCTAATTTCTTAAAAAAAAAAAAAAAAATTAGATTCCCGAAAAATTAACGTGACTCTATTAGTTTTAGAATAAGGCTTATTCTAAAATCTAATTAAATTATTATATATACTGTGTGTGTTATACACATAAACTATATATATTATTTTATATTATATTTTTTTGCACTAATTCTACGCGCTGTAATTTAAACTACTTCCAAAGCAGAACAACAAGGTCACGATAACGTCAGAATAACATTAAAATAAATCGCAAATGATTAAAAAATGACTTTTAATGATCATTTTGCAATCATTTTGACATCATAATGACTTGTTGTTCTACTTGGGTTTCTACTATTGTCGTTTCAATGGTTTTATATGAATTTTTTGATAATTACGATAAAAAAAATTAATTTGGAAAGTAACACAAATAAATTATTAGTGTAAAATAGACAAATAAAAATAATATATTTTTTAGTTGCCTTCCAATATGTAATTTTTCACAAACGATAGTTATCGTACAACTATGTTTTTCGAAAGATTGAAAAGGATGAGTGCGGTAGAAAAATATGTTATCAGTAAAATTACATGTTTTTCACTGTGGATGGTTATTGAATTCCGCGTTGAAAAAAATACTTTTGCATCTCACTGGCGCGCGAAAATTTTAATTCATTACTCACTGCACCCGAATACACGCGCCACAAATAATTGTAGAACGCAACAACGGTAACAATTACGACGACCGCTTTTATTTCGTCCACAGAAATAAGATGAGATCTGTATCGATAACAAACTTTCAGTTCTTCCAAATGAAATATTTATTCTCATCTTTTCTATTGAACTGCTTTTTGTGTCACGATATTATTAAATACTTTTTGTACTATTAAGTACTAATTGAAACCATGTATTGTTGTATTTTTATTTATAAAAATATTTCTTCTATTATAAGTAAAAATATACATATAAAAATTAAATTATAATTAAACTGTTAATTTTTCCTATAAAGGTTTTTTAATATTATTATTGTTGAATGGTTTTATGTAAGAGAGTAATTACCACGCGTCTTTTTCTCTGCAAAAAACAGATTCATTCTAAATAAAAATGTATTTTTAAAAATTGAATTAATAAAATTCTCAACAACTTTTTTTTACAATATTATATTGAATACTTTTTAAGAGAAACTATCTAATTTTAGAATAAAAATTCTTCTATTATGAAAATAAATTCTTATAAAAACTGAACTGCTAATTTTCTTGTACAAACGATTTTTTATGAAATTATTGATTTTAGATAAGAAAAAAAAATGTTTATCTATAAAAAAATTTCTTTTATTAAATGTCTATTTGCAAAAATACAATTGTTAAAATAAAAATTGTCGTTATATTAATGCAATTAATTATTTATATATTTTGTAAAATTAAAGTTTATATTATTTTTTTTTATAAAATTATTTTCTAATTTCCAAAATCTCAGACAAATTAATTGAAAAATACTTCAAATAAAAATATTTGAAATTCTTCAGAAGAAAGTAATATTAATATACAAATATAATCTTTCGCCTTTCATTCCATTTATATCAAATATTTATATAAACTCATTACGTTTTTATAATTTTGTTTCTGTCTTCTAAATTGCATTGTTACTTACAAAAACGTAGTGCATGTATAATTGAATACACTGTATAAATATACACGAATGTCAGCAATATATTAAGCTCGAGTCCGTGAATTTGCTAACAGTAAGCGCAGACAGTGCGGATCAGTTATTCTCACGGAAAGAAGACCTAGTGGCGCCATCAGTTAGCGATAAAGGAAAGTTTTTATAAAAAATTTACCATTACGAATGGTAAATTTTTCAGATAATTTTTACAAGATGTTGACAAGTATATTTATTTCAAAATAAAGACTAAACAAGAAATTCTTTTTTATCATAAAAAAAAGATATATAGTCTATTTTTTTCAGTTGAACTTCTCGCACTATTCAGCTTTTTTCTTTTTCTTCACATTGGAATAAAAGGAAGAAAAACAATAGAAGTTCAACTGAACAGCTTTAAGTATAAATGTTCACTACTTTATTAAATTATTTATTCGTTTATATACTCTTATTAAAAAGACTAAAGAACATACAAAGCTCATGTAAAAAGTTCTCTTATTAGAAATAATACACATTAAACAAGTTCAATCTATACAGATAATAAACAGAGAGATTCAAGAAAATTTTAGATAATAAAAACACAATGTTAATATTTTATTATTGATAGTTGTATTATAAGGAATCAGACGGCGATTATAAAAAACAAGACATTATTATAATATTTAGAATTAATTTCTTTATTCGTCAACATTTCCTACGAAAGATTTGCATGTGCGAATTAATAAAATTAAAAACTCAGGTAATAAAATTTATAATATATTAAATGATTTCAATACAATGCGACGCTTTAGTAGAGATCACAATGGAATCAGACATCTCCACCTCTAAGTCGAAGTACAAGATGAAGTGTAGACTCTTTCTGAATATTATAGTCGGATAAAGTCCGTCCATCTTCTAGCTGCTTGCCCGCGAAAATCAGTCTTTGTTGATCGGGAGGAATGCCTTCTTTATCTTGAATTTTCGCCTTTACATTTTCGATCGTGTCTGAAGCCTCGACCTCCAGCGTAATAGTTTTACCAGTGAGAGTTTTGACAAAAATCTGCATACCGCCGCGAAGCCTCAAAACCAAATGCAATGTGGATTCCTTCTGAATATTGTAATCAGAAAGTGTACGACCATCTTCAAGTTGTTTTCCGGCGAAGATCAACCTCTGCTGATCTGGAGGTATTCCTTCCTTGTCCTGAATTTTGGCTTTAACATTCTCGATCGTGTCCGACGCCTCAACTTCCAACGTGATGGTCTTTCCTGTCAATGTCTTGACGAAAATTTGCATACCACCACGTAAACGGAGAACCAAATGCAAGGTAGATTCCTTTTGAATATTATAGTCAGAAAGTGTGCGACCGTCTTCAAGTTGTTTCCCGGCGAAGATTAACCTCTGCTGGTCCGGAGGGATTCCTTCCTTGTCTTGAATTTTGGCTTTGACATTCTCGATCGTGTCCGACGCTTCGACTTCCAGAGTAATTGTTTTACCGGTAAGCGTTTTGACAAAAATTTGCATACCGCCGCGAAGCCTCAAAACCAAATGCAACGTGGATTCTTTTTGAATGTTGTAGTCAGAAAGTGTGCGGCCATCTTCGAGCTGTTTTCCGGCGAAGATCAATCTCTGCTGATCCGGTGGGATTCCTTCCTTGTCTTGAATTTTGGCTTTAACATTCTCGATAGTGTCTGACGCCTCAACTTCCAACGTGATGGTCTTTCCTGTTAATGTTTTGACGAAAATTTGCATACCACCACGTAGACGAAGAACCAAATGTAAGGTAGATTCCTTTTGAATATTGTAGTCAGAAAGTGTGCGACCATCTTCAAGTTGTTTTCCAGCGAAGATCAATCTCTGCTGATCCGGGGGAATTCCTTCTTTGTCTTGAATTTTGGCCTTGACATTTTCGATCGTGTCTGACGCCTCAACTTCCAGCGTGATGGTCTTTCCTGTTAATGTTTTGACAAAAATTTGCATACCACCACGTAAACGGAGAACCAAATGCAACGTGGATTCTTTCTGAATATTGTAGTCAGAAAGTGTGCGGCCATCTTCGAGCTGTTTTCCGGCGAAGATCAATCTCTGCTGATCCGGTGGGATTCCTTCCTTGTCTTGAATTTTGGCTTTAACATTCTCGATAGTGTCTGACGCCTCAACTTCCAGCGTGATTGTCTTTCCTGTCAATGTCTTGACGAAAATTTGCATACCACCACGTAAACGGAGAACCAAATGCAATGTGGATTCTTTCTGAATATTGTAGTCAGAAAGTGTGCGACCATCTTCAAGTTGTTTTCCAGCGAAGATCAATCTCTGCTGATCCGGGGGAATTCCTTCTTTGTCTTGAATTTTGGCCTTGACATTCTCGATCGTGTCGGACGCCTCAACTTCCAATGTGATGGTCTTTCCTGTCAGGGTTTTGACGAAAATTTGCATTCCACCACGTAGACGAAGGACCAGATGCAATGTGGATTCTTTCTGAATGTTGTAGTCAGAAAGTGTGCGACCATCTTCAAGTTGCTTTCCAGCGAAGATCAATCTCTGCTGATCCGGGGGGATTCCTTCTTTGTCTTGAATTTTAGCTTTGACATTCTCGATCGTGTCCGACGCCTCAACTTCCAATGTGATGGTCTTTCCTGTCAGGGTTTTGACGAAAATCTGCATTCCACCACGCAATCTGAGGACCAAATGAAGAGTAGATTCCTTCTGAATATTGTAATCAGACAAGGTACGTCCATCTTCCAGCTGCTTTCCAGCAAAGATCAAACGCTGCTGATCAGGTGGAATGCCTTCCTTATCCTGGATCTTTGCTTTTACATTCTCGATAGTGTCAGAAGCCTCAACTTCAAGAGTTATGGTCTTCCCAGTCAATGTCTTCACAAAAATCTGCATGGTGCTCTACAATAAAATTTCACGTTGTATGGACAGTTATCTTTTAATTATATATATATATATAATATCTAAATAAATCGATTCTAATTATTTACAAAATGAGGACACCTCGGAGAACATCGATAAGTTATACAAATATAAATGTAGACAAATTTTAAAAAAAGGATAAACCACATTCACCTTTACAGACAAGCCGTACACAAAGTTATATTAATCACGAAACTGAGAAAGCTGGCTGTTTGCAGATCAAAGCTGCTTATATGACGCAGTAAAATTAAGACCCGCCATTTTGATTCGTTTTAGTTGCTCGTCATTGCTCGTTACCAAGCGTATGACGCCATGTTACTCCGAGAAAACGTAATGACAAATATAGGATTAATTCTACAGCTTTTTCCTACATGCTCATTTCCTACATGCCTCTCACGCTGATGCAGATACAAAACGACTTTTCGATTAGATTTCGAAATATACCGATAAAAAAACGCCAATCAAAATAAGCTATTCCGCCTAGCAACAGAGCCAACAGGCTCGAAACAACGATCGATAATAGAATCGCGTATAGAACACACATTTGGAAATGACTATACAAATCGACATGTATGTTTCTTATTAAATGTAGCGTGTCGATGACTATCGGACAAATTCTACGATTATCATTACTATCTCATTTGCACGAATAAATCGACTTTTCGGACAAGGACAAAAAATTCAAAATCAAAAATTAGTATATCGACAAGTATAATGAACATACCTTTTGTTTGAAAGCTTCTCGCTGTGTGTAATTTTCACGCAAGACAACTGTAGTAGAATAAACGCTCTTCTCTGCTCAAGTTCACAATGACTATTGAAACGGCCAGCGTCGCGAGGCTTGTTTTTATACCACGAATCACGTGACTGCGAATGACGCATGTTCGTATCCGATTGGCTGAAGGATGTCGACGACGCCACTGATTGGCTCGCTGGTTGCATACGTCACTGATCAATATGACGTTAATATGCGGACTGACGCAGATCTCGTGTATCGACTTGGCAATAATGACAACAAAGAACATTCTAGAATCTAGGGTCTAGAATGTTCTTTGTATATTATTGCCATGTCGATACGTGAGATTTGCACTGGACAGAGTTATCAGTGATCTGGTCGTATGCAGAATGTATGTATATAGAATGCTAAAGTCTAGACGTCTTGATATTCTGCATCATTCTCTCAGGTTCTCCGTAATTCTAGTGTTACATATTATGTATGTACAGAACGCTGCAAAATAAATCACCTGATTTTAAGGAATCATATATCTTTAATGGGCTATGAATGATAAATATAAAGTATGTTTTAAACGAATGTATCCCGAGAATGACCTAATTATCGTATATACGCCAGAAATAACAATTTAATTATTAATAATTCAGTTATTAGCGAATTTCGTCGACGATTCGGGAATCGAGGGTTTAAACTGCGTACATAATTCACAAAGACCAATTCGTCGATTTAAAATTTTATAGACCACAAGTACGTAATCGAAAAGTGCGAACAAATTGTTTCGTGAATATTGAACGTGTAATGTTTAACAGGAGAGCGATTGAGAGAGCATTTGCAAGCGTATTTAAGGCGATTATTTATCAATATTTCTGATAATTATAAAAATCAAGTTTTAATTGCTGTTTAGAATTTGCGTTTTTATCTCAATTTTAATGGACTAATAATGGAAGTGAGACGATTAATTTTATAGCACCCTGTACATCTGTTCTCATTTATCAGAAACCGAAACAGTTACAATTTCCTGTTTGAGCTCAGCTTTCAAAAATGATGCTCACGTTTATTCCCAACAATATTCCTTCTCTAGATATATAAGTACGACGTTGATGACGCAAAATGATGCATTCCCTAAATATAAGTTGATTATTAAAAAAATGTCCTTGTCAAAAGATATTTGTGGCTAAAAGCACGATGCATTACCCTTTAATAATAAATATTCAGGAACGAAACGGTTTCGATGGATACCGAGATGTTCACCGAACGTTCATGTTATTTTTTCTTTATCTAGAAGATTTCTATTTTCGCTTTTCATTATACAAATCGACCTCGCAAAATTTAATTCGCAGAATTGCCGAGTCATAAGCATAACGTCGCAATTTCAATGACTCGCAGACTGATGCAATACTAACCGCGTACGAAAATAAGGTAGAAACAAGGTAAATAACACGATATATATCGTATATTAAGAATATTATTCTCGTATAACGTTCGTTTGTTCGTTTCCGAAATAAAAAAAACATGCTCTTCAAAGAATGATTTTCTCTTATAAAAATTAAAGTTTGACGCAAGAATCCTATAAAATTGGCGTGATTATCAGCGGTAAATACTAAAAAAATATATATAAAAATACTTCAGAGTCAATGTGTATCTCGAAAAGATAAAAATTATAGAAGTGAATAACTCAAGTGTCGACTGATGAAATTATAAATATTCCGATATGAATATATTTGCTTGCTTTTGTAAATTTTGTTTTATTTTAGATACATAATCGACTTGCAGATTCGAAAAATAATAACTAAAAAATAAATCGCGCGTGCACACTATTGGCTTTTATGTTTAAATTCGAATTATTTCGTACATATTACTTGAGTTTTTCGTGAATAAAACATTGAAGTTGGAAAAGGAAAGGAACACAATAATATCAAGGAAACTATCAATTCTTTCAGTCAGAAGTATCAACAAGTTCACAGTTGCGTCGTACACATGTTTGTTTTATTCAATGATCATTCAAAAAAACAGAAAGTCTACACAAGTCAGAATAAATTCACTTAAATGAGGAGGTAATGTCTAAAAATTGAAACGTCAAAATTTTAACTCGACTGGCTTGAAATTCTGTAAATGAAACTAATTTATAGTATTATGTGTTAAAAAAATGTTAACACGTGCACTTTCTCAGCATCGAATAATCATCAAGCATCCAAATCATCGAGTTATAAATATATTGGCGCTATTTTCTGCGTGAGTCACATACGTGACAATAGCATATATCGTAAATGGTCACTTTGTGCAGAAGTGAGAGAGAGAGAGAAAGAGAGAGAAAGGATATAGTATTTCCTACACGTACTGACTACACACACAACATACACACAAAATCTCAATACAATCTATTGCCTACTCTTTAACTTCAAACTTATAAACGTTCGTCGTCGTCGTCTTACTACACGTTCATTTGAATTTTTGTTTGTGTATCTTTCATAACCAATGGTTAATCAGTCTAGCTGATTCAAATTCTGTGAACGCGTCCGTCAGTTTTGTCGAGACAAATCTAATATCAGAATTAACAGAATCGTATCCGCCTGAAAAAATTAGCGGTCAACTCAAGCTTTCCTCAATAATAACGCTAGCTTCGTTTTGTGACACGCTTATTACAGATTAAATACATCGTAGGAAATAAATCCATTGCCATAAAGTAAACGACTCACAATAGAGACGTAGAGACGAAGAGCGCCCACTATTGTAGTTTAATAAACGCGTCTTATATCTTTTTATTAATCATATCATTCCTCAGATTACGCATATTCTAAAAATCATGACAAGCATCAGCCTAGTTTCAAATTGTCCTTATCCGAAGATATCTCTCCTCCTAAACAAGCAACTGACAGCGGGAAAAGAAACTGCTTCCTTATACTAGATAAGTTAATAGATAATTCGTACTGCAAGTACGAATCTTTTGGTAGATCTTCTACTTGGAATCTGTTTCCATTTTGATCTCTTCCGCCTTTTTGTCCTTCTTCGAAGCCTCACTATCGGTACCTTCTCCATTACTGTTATCGCGTCTTCGTTTTCGAGCGAATCGTCCCTTGAATTTCGGTGGCGGCAATTGTTCCATACCTAGGACTTTATGAATCTGGCGGAATGCCACTAATCGTAAAGCATGCTGCGCCGACGAAGTAATATCTTCTCTCTGTTGGGACGTCATGTTTCCTATTGCATCAACGGGCTCTTTCTCACATGGATCGGATAATCCTAAAACGAAGAGATTATGAATCAACATTGATTTCCGCACGTTATCTTTTGACCAACAGTACAGCTAAAATTTTTATCAGATGCCATATCATCTACGTATATCGCGGAAGATCTGATTATGATACAGGAGAACAAAATACTTGTACTAGAGTTCAAAAATCAGTTCCACAATACACTCAGTCTCGTCATCTTTTTCATCATTTGAAGATAGGAAATTAAAATATCAAAAAATGATATAACAATAAATTTTAGAAATTACCTGGACTACCCGGTAACAATATTCCTCCAGCTACGCATTCCAAAAGTCTTCTTAAGGCTTCACCCGGACTAAGGGGACCTCCAGCGGTGCTAATCACTTTCTCAGTCAATAATTCTAATGCCTGTATATATATTGAAAAACGTTATCGAGAATCGAAAAATCGTGAGAACGAGTGAATAATTAATGGAAGTAATTAATATGCCGCATATACTAACCCAAGGATTTAACGGACCCCATGTTGGCACACGATTACACAGGTCGCGCATTATACGGATAACCATAACACAGCTCTGCAGCGAGGTAGCTCTAGCCTGTTGAACAGGATTAACATTTAAAAAACTACGATTTAATATACGTAATAAATGCACTGGCTCTTCTGGAGATAAGCCTAAACTATCCTTCGATTGCTTTGTGTGGGCTTTAGCTATCCTCCCAGCCTCGTGCCTAGTGCCCCTAATAGTATTAGCCCATATCAATATTACCGGGTGTTTATCGATTACTCTTTCCTAGACGTTAATACCTGTCGCAATAATTAAAAAAAAAAGCCATAATTCATGTGTTTCAAGGAAAACTGTGCACATCTTAGAACAACTTTAGAACTCGACTCTAATCTACAGAAACACCCGGTACACTTATGACGCGCTACTGTGTGTTTGTGCTTGTCTGTCTCTTTTAATCTCCAAAGCTGTGCAATTAATGCACATGAAATTGTTACAATACAAAAATGGAACGAAATACATAATCTCACAAAAGCTGTACTGATGCTATATGTCGATTTGCTTTAAGGTTAAGACAGACCTAGAACAGACGCAGCCTAGGCTACAACGCATTAAGGACGATCCAGAATAATGAATTACGCTTGATCGTAAGGCAATCGAGGTCTGCGTACTTAGTAAAGAAAATAAAGAAAATCACATTCATTCTAAGAATATAAATGAATTATACTCGAATTGCGACGTCTCGCAGTGCAGTTCCTATTATTCTGGATGTTGAAGATTTAAAGCAAAGCAGATGTAAATGCATCTAGCAGCATTTTCGCGTGACTGTCGAGATACACATTTACATGTTGCTTACTTGCAAGATTTCTTGCCTGATATATCTGATCGCATGTTCGATGTATGATTAGTTTTTCTCTCCCACGTACGGACGATGCCACTGTTATCCGTTATTTTCGGAACTATTTTTATTTCGGACCGTTCGAAATTATGGTATGGTTATAAACGGTGGTAATAAACGTGGTCCGAAACGTAAATGTAAAATCTAAAACTCCGAAGAGAGTACAGTGGACAAAGCCGACTTGGTGTGTGTTTCAAAATTCAGCGGATATAGAAACGGTGGACATCGAACGTGATCAAATAAACAATTCAGACAGAATCATGTCAACGACAGGTCGATTAATGATAAAAAATAAAACCGTCACAAGGCTGGAAGTTTCTAAGACTGCTTTTTCTCTTTTTCTTTCTTTTTTCGTTTGATTAAAATTGTTTTAAGAGAGAGAGAGAGAAAGGACAATTTGCACGCGTCTCACGTTTTATCAGGAGAAAATAAAAGAAAATGCTTCGTTACATAGCGCCAAACAAGAATGTGGCACCGACAATTTGAGTTCTTGAACTGAGAGTTAATGGATTCAAACCTGAAACCACTTCGCGTGCCTGAGTGCAGCTAAAGCTTCCAAACACTTAGCCTTGGGAAGTACATCCGGTGGGTCTGGTTTCGTCACACTGGAGGCTGCGGGCGTTGTTTGCAGTTGAGCAGCTTCCTGCTGCTGCTGTCCACCATTATCTGAGATTTCAACAAAGAAAGCACAACACGCTTAGACAACACTTAGAGTGTTTGATCATGCCCAGAGATTTTAGGTATTCCCTCTCTCTATTAATATTCGTTTCAACTTAAGCACCTTTATATTGTGGGCTATACCGTAATGATGCCAACGTGAAAAAAGAAATATAAGCCTGATCGAATGTAGTACGTTTGCAATGCACCGAGTTCACCCCCATTAAAACGTTCTTTCTCAGATGGTTCTTCTGCCGCTTAAGAACATCCGACAATTCCTATCAGCATCGGTAGTGTCACCTCTATCCGCTTAAAAGGTAGGTAGCACCGATGCCAATAGAACGGTCGGTTAAGATTCAGAGGTAATGTAATGCACATCGCAGAATGTGCGTACAGCATTCGATAACAGTCAGAGGGATTTTCTGTCTTTTTTTATGCATGATCAAAAAGTCCATAGTTTTAAGATTGCCTCAGCGTTGTTTCCTCCTATCGCAAGCGTGTCCACGTTCAATGAAATCTCTCGTTAGTATTGATCGTCGATGGAAATTCTAGTTCGAATATTCATTTTCGACAAAATATATAAATCGCTACTGTAAATAACATAACGCGCAACAATGGAAACCGGTATCTAATCGTATCATATTTACGCTCTTTTTCTGCGAAATTTATCTCAATATCGTTCGAGTATTGTTTTGTGATATACTCTTAATAATTGGAAATGAATTCTACAAAGAGGACTCTGTCGTGGACACACTAAGACACGCAGCTATATCGAAAAGGAAATGAACTTTTATGTTAGAGCGTATGTACACTGGCAACCGTCGAATCGTCCTTGGCTGCCCCGCATCGTCCTGGTGCTTAAAAAAACTTACAGAAAATCTTCTGGGCCATGAAAAGAACAAACTAAATGTACAAATTGCAGAGTAGATCAAAAACGACATGAAAATAAAAGAGGTGCACGATTTCATAAAAAACCCCGCTTCGCCTTTATAGTTATCCTTTTCTTGGCCACTATAAAAATGCGAAACAATGAAATCACCTGCTGCGGCAGACTTGGGTGTCTCGCGCATCAGAGGGCTGGTGAGTGTCACGCTGACGGTAACTGTACCCCCGGAGACAGTTAAAGCCGCGGATTCCGGATGCTTTCCAACATTGTAGGTTTCTTCTGGAGCTACATTCTTTAATTCGCCCGGTAAAATCTCAGCAACCTTATTGAGCAATGTTCTATAAAAACGAATAGTCTCGTAAATTATAATGTATACGCACGATTATTGTATGCAAGGAAATCATCTGAGATACCTGGTAGGTTTTTCTGCACACAGTACAACAAGACACACGTGATTATCTCCGGATAATAATAGCCCTTTGGCCAAGTTTCCGACGCGCATAACGCCACGAAGTATCCTAGAATCTTCTTTTTCCTTTTGAAACGAGAATAGATTTCCGTCGCTTCCATCTTCCTTTTGTGGTGTAACTGCCTTCTTTTTATCAGCTTCTTCTTTCTTCAATGCATCAGCGTTTGCCTGTGGGGTACCAGCCTGTACATTTACTGCAGTAGCATTGGAATTGGCAGGAGTATTCTTTTTACCTGTAAACAATCATGTTCGTCAGTGTAAGCTATAATTTTAAAGTTCGCATAAAAAGAATGAAGTACTTACCAGCCTCAGCTAAAGCATCCGACACAAACTTCAATGCCTTTTCGGTGTGAGAAACTATTTTTTGAACTGCCAATAGTTCTTGTTCCTTAGGATAAATAGTTGTATGATGCGCCAATACATGTTTGTCGTCAGATGAATCCGGTCGTCTTTGAGGACCTGGGAATAACATCATGGGTGGCGGTCCTTGGAATGGACGCGGCATCGGCGGGGCACCTGATCCACGTCCATATCGTCGATACCATTCGAAATATTCGCACTCTTCCTCGTAGCGACGCCTCTCTTCCCAATATATCATTTCCTCGTCCATCATGGGTCCCATAGGTCCCAATTGGTTGATTTCTTCTCTGCGACGTAAATACTCATCGCGCATTTGTTGTCTACGTAGTTTTTCTTCCAGCATCTTGCGTTGTTTAAGGCTTGGTTTCATGTCAACAATCAAATCGGGATTGACCTTCTTCTTGTAGGCAAATCTATGACGGCGACCTTTCATATGCATGTCTTTGGCATTGGGATCGTTGAATCGACACTCGCATAGTTTACAATTGAAACTTATGATCTTTCCATCCTCAGATTTATTCTCCTCGATATATTCTTGGCCAACCGGTTGAATATCCTTCTCATCGCCCGTAGCCTCTTCCACGGTTTCTTCAACCGATTCCTCCTGCTTAACCTCTGCAGTTTGATTTTGATTCACCGTGCCCAAGTTTCCAGCTGAAACATTTGTACAAATGCAATTATATAGATTATATAGATGCTTTGTAAATCCTATAAATATTAATAGAAAAATATCACTAGATTCTAATAATTTCTCATAACATGCAAAAATGTAGGCATTTACTTACAAGCGACAAAATTGATTTTAGGTGTTGCTGTCACTGTCGACTTCTTAGCAGCAGCAGCTTTTGCAGCTGGTTTTGGATTTAGAACTGTGGGATCCGCACTTGGTATAGGTTTTCCAAGTTTAGTGTGCAACTTGACGACCTTCTGATGCTTGGCACCTCTGATATGAGCGGCGTAGGCATCATTTCCAGTACAAGTTACATCACATAGCTCACATCGAAGACTGTTGCCTGCTCCACGCGCTGGGGGCTGTTGTGGCACCTTCAGGGAGGCCTCCTTCTTCTTGTGCTTCTGACCCTCCAGATGCTCACGATAAGTCTGTGGCCCGGCGCAGCTGATCTTACAGACATCGCAATAGTGAAGTTGTTGAGGCTTAGGAGGCTGCTTGGGCCGCATTGCCTTCATCCCTCCCCCGCCAGCTCCGAATCCCTTCCGTCCGTAGCCCTGCCAACCTCCAGTCTTCTGGTTAGTGGAATTGCTGTTTGCACTCTGTTGGGCTACATACATAGTCGCAGCGCTATATAGCGCTGCGTCGTAGCCGGAATACGTTGTACTCGCCGTTTCTAAGGGAAATGAAATTGAAACCTCAAACTTTGGAGGGGCCCAAACCATTCGTACTTTCGCGCGGCGAACAAAACTTTTACTATTACTCATTTCAAGATGCATCAAAAGACGAATTACGAAGACTCCACGAAGACGAAACACCGATGGGAAATTGATGTACTCGAAAATGTGCTCCATTCTTCAGAGTAGATAAAATGAAATTTATAACTTCTGCTAACTCCTCAAACAGTTATTACGATCGAGAATGCTAGCAGAGCTTTGAAAATTTGTTTTGGCATTTTTCATATGTATTGTGAGAGGATCAATTTCATGTTATTAGTTTCTACATCACAGTTAGTGGTCAAGAGAGGACCGAAAATATTTGAACATAAATGTATAAGAAAAAGTCAACACACTTACTATTTGTTGCAGTTGATGGAGTAGCGGCAGGCGTAGCTGGAGCTGTATATCCTGACGAATAAGTAGCGCTCTGCGTAGGATTTGATTGCTGATAAGCCGTACCGGATGCTTGATAGGTCTTAGCTTGTCCAGTAGTAGTGGCTTGTCTAGCAGTACCAGTATAAGCACTGGTCGTGCTGTAAGCAGGCTTTGCAGCCTGATAATGTGTTTCGGTAGTAGTGTAAGTTGCTGCAGCTGCTGCTGGTTGTTGGTAATAGGTTTTAGTCGCGTCGTATGTAGCTGCTGGAGCAGCTCGTCCGTAACCGTAGTCGTAAGTTTGAGCTACGGTACCAGGATTGGCAGCTGCAAGGAACATGTGTTGCAAGACATTATTGTTGCACTTGAAAATAATTATATTATTGATAACATAGAGAAACAAAAAATAATATTTAAAGCATTTGAGCTAACATTATATTTATTGTACAACAAACGCAATACAAGTATAATAAATGAAAGTATTTCTTGTCCTTCCTCATTCTCAGACCATATTCCGATATATACTGCAGCATTCAAAATCTACAATTCAATGTTATGTATATTATAGTTTTTTAATACTGATAATATACATTGGAACATGATGTTTGCTCACGGTTACTTTTTGCACTCAGCACTTTTGCTTCCTTTCTTTTCAATATTCAAATATATTTCATTTTAATTGCAAAAATTTCAAGCAACGTGAATAGACCTATACCCTCAACAAACAATCAGCCAATTGTTGAAATAAGCATCTATTAATAACGTATTTAATTTAGTGACTCAACCTAATTTTAAATCAATGATCTTTCCTTTTAATTACAAAGAGCTGAACTATGCAAGGAATAAAAGACTAGACGAATCAATTCAGAATTCAGGTCGAGTTAGTATATCGAATATATTAAAAGTCTCAGTGGATTTCCAGTTTACTATGACTACGTTCCATTTAATGCATATGGAATCATTTCATCCTTGTTTATCTAATGTTAAAAAGAATTGTCCATGGTAGACCACATGAAAACTTATAGAAGAAACCGAGTGTAAGTGTAGCTCCACCTGCTACACCTAAACCCGATCAGTACTTTTTCCCATAATACTAAAAAAATACTTGTTCAAATCTTTAAAAAAAAGTTTATATTCAATGAAAGTTGAAATTTTGTACAAAAGGTGTTAACGACAGGTATACACTTTGAAACTTGAAATTTCTTTCATAAAGGGATCGACCGCTGAACGTGACCATGCGGAATTCGTACGTAGAACCCACCTGCGTACGTTGTCCCAGTTGCGGCTGCAGCAGCAGCTGCCTGATACGTCTCGTAGCCGGTCGCAGCAGCGGCAGCGGGTCGTTGAGTGTACGTGGCAGCGGTAGCTGCTGGAGTTACCGCGTATCCTGCTTGGCCGGTCTGATATGCGGCGGCGCTGGTCGCCCTATTCGTGAAGCAACGTTAAAAAGTAAAATTATCACAGCCGCATTAGTAGAGGTGGAGCGTTCGCGCGAGGAAATGCGACACGCAACGGTAACGCGGACGGTGATAAGTACGGCGTAGGAAAAATGTATTGGAAGCCCCTCGGGGGAGACGCTCGACTCGGGACGCTAATTTCTCGCGGCGAGAATAATGGCCGCCAAGCCGGCCGTACCTTTCAGACGCGTGCCGTCGAAAACGCGAACGCTTTTATCACTATCGCAGGCACACGCTCGAGGCCACGAATCCTCGCTCGACTTAACACTAGCTACTTAGTGATAATGATAATGCAGACGATTTCGTACCCATATTGCGTCCCACCGTGAGTAAAGCCGAAATAATTGTTCTGAGCCATCCTTCCTCGCGAAGAGAATCTCGGAAAGAAGGACAATGGAGGCAGTCGTAGGGCGTGCCACGAGCGTACTCGAAAGATAGAACGGCGGTGGTAGTGCGGTACTGCCGCGCGCGCCGATTGGCTGGCGTGCCGCGAGAGCAGCGCGCCCTCAGTGGCCACTTCCGCAAAGAACCGGCAGAGCGCGGCGGAAGATTAGAACTGCACTTCCGCGCGAATATACGACTACGACGCGCCCGCGCGTTCTACACCTGGCGTCGCCGCGCTACCTGCCGCCGGGCGCCGTCGGCGATCAGCGGTCGGCGTGCACGGCGAGCTACCTGCCCTGCCGCCGAGCCAGAGATCTCCGTCGCACGAGGTAAAGATATCCGGAGGGAGACAGAATGAAAGAGAGGAAAAAAACGGTAGCGCGATGTGGCCCGCCCGTATGAGTAACGATCGGTCCGAACCGATATACGATCTTAATCGAATCTCACCAAACTTACTGCGTGTCTTTCTCGGCTATTCTCCGGGACGCCGGGGGTAGTGGAGCGTGGGTAGCGTGGAGAACAGAACTTGCTAGCGATAATAATTTCGCGGCTGGTCGCGTATCGTCGGGATCGTCACGCGACGTGGCGCATCGAACATACGTACGGCGTGCGCGGGGAAGGGCTCGAGGCTTGCCGTTGGCAGAAACGTGCGTTCGTACGTGCGTATGTGCGTGCGTCGCCGTGCGATACGAGATACACGCGCTACGACCGCGCTCGCGCTCGTTTGTTCGCCGTGCCGTATGCGTGTCCGGAAGGCGTAGGGGGATCTAGATTCTAGCGCCGACGCGCTCAAGATGTTTCTAGTGTTTCTCTATTCTTCCTGCCCGACGCCCTCTGCCAGTCGTCCCTTCGTAACATCGCTCACTTCCGGAGTATCGACGTTGTCGCGTTTTCAATTATCAGCTTCTAACCATGTAGATTAATTTTAATCTCGTCGATTTAATTTACCTTTCGTCTTTGTCTAGTTCTAAGAATTAATTTACATTGGCCTAGTTTCCACCGAGGGTTAAACCGGATGTAAGAACCAAGTCTTAAGTATAATATTCAGATGTATAAGCCAATCAGAAGGTAGTGTAGGGTAATTGTAGAATACCCTTAAGAATCATTTGTTAAGGAGCCTTTTTATGCTGACGCTCGACGCTCATTTTTAGCATCAAAACAGATCACGTGATAAAAATTGACGAATATCAAGCATTAATTTCGATTACGTGACTTATTTGGCGCTAAAAATGAACGTCGAGCGTTAGCATGAAAAGACACCTTTAGCCTTAAAATTACGAATGTAGTTTTGAAAACTTGCCCTTGGCTGGCCATCTTTAATATAACATCTCGTCGCGAATAGTAATTAAACATTAGGTGTTCTTTTTTCATTGCACTAGACTGCACTAAAATTTTCTATCTCACTTCTACTAAATATACATCCGCTTCAAATATATATATCTATTTCATTTCAAGTGTAGCAAGTATGTACACTGTGTTCAATCACAAAATGAATAGCTCTTATATCATATAATAATAATACATTTGTATATAAACATGTAACTGCATTGTGTAGCCTCAGTAATCTCGTAGCTTCGGTCACGCAATTTATCTGTATACTGTGCGCGGGATTAAGAACTGAGACTACTGTATATTATACATATATTTTCAGAAGATCTGGCGAAACGCCAATTAGACACAGTAGTGCCTAATTTCATCGCGATCAGCTGGGAATTATAACACGGATTTTTCCACTCGCTACTATCATATTTCACCGGGAGATCAATATGCGTCTAGCATTATTTTTCTTATTACTCAACTGTTTGTCATTTTCGATATCGAAGAATATCGTGCTGATTATTACGGATGATCAAGATTCTATTCTAGACGGCATGGTAGCGTCTTTAATTCTATTTTATTCAAATTAGTTAACAAAATAAAGATTACTAAAAATTCAATCTAATATGTTATATGTAGATATATATAAATTAATAAAATTTATTTTCAAATGTATCGGCAAAAAATCCCGCATTAATCATAATAAAAGTGGCTTCGGTTAAATTGACTGAAATTAATTGTGATTTTATTTTCAGATTATGAGATAAGGCAGTAGCACAAACTTTTGCATAACGTGCCTAAGTGAACCAACTATCAAAATCTTTCCTTTCTTTCCATTCCATGGAAAACAAGAATTTCAATTCCCTTATGCACTATGTATTATGCGTTATGCAAAAGTCTGTGCTGTAGTCAATACTGATCAAAAGTTTTTAGACAAAATTATCAAAAATTATTCTATGCTGTGATTGGATCCGTAACTTCCTAACAGAGCCTAAAAAGTGTTAACAAAGTATTAAAGATCGAAGCTTTTTTAACACTTGTGCTACCAAAATCAATCCATTTCTAGTTTTACGTAAAGAAACTTTTTTTTTTCATATCTCATAAAGCTACAAAATATCATCACCAATTTGACCGAAATCATTTTTATCATGATTAATTTATATGATTAATGCAAGGTCTTTTATAGAGAAAATGCAAAAAATAATAAAATAAGATTCCAATTACTTTAATTAGAAAACAATTACAATCGTTTATACTTTGGAAGTGCGTGCTTACCGTGATTTTCAATTTATAATTTTAGACGCCAATGACAAATACTTTGAATCTTATAGGAGGTCGAGGTGCTACGTTTACAAATTGCGTAAGTATAAAAAATGCGGAAATTATTTCATCATTTCTATTCGATTTGGTGTGTAAAGAAAGAATCGTTTAGTTTGTAGCCACACCTGTTTGTTGTCCCAATCGAGCATCTATTTTGACAGGACGATATCAACATAATCATCTAACGGTAAATAATTCTGTCGCCGGTGGTTGTAATAGCGCGCGATGGCGACAATTACAAGAGCCGACAACGTTCGCCTCTCTTTTGCAAAATATCGTCGGATATAAAACGTTTTACGCAGGAAAATATTTGAACCAGGTAGACCCTCTTCAATGATTCTTCGACTAAAGAAAATTTCGTTTTACGATGTACACGAATATTGTAAGCAAAAATAATTTTCTTTAAATTTTATAAGATTTTTTTAAATTCAAAATTTGACGTCTAAAATAATTGAAGTAAAAATTGGATTTTAAAATTTGTGAAATGAAATTTTAACATCTTTTTACTTTTTTCCACAATTATTATTTGTGATAATTAAAATAAATTAATGCACATGCGATAGTATGGAAAGAAGGAAACTGGCGGTGCGACTCATGTACCATTGGGATGGGATTGGTGGGCTGGTCTTATAGGAAACTCGAAGTATTACAATTATTCATTATCCATAAACGGTACTGAGAGAAAATACGGTGATAGCTCGAATGATTACCTTACCGACGTGATCGTGAGTATACAAAAATGTTCAACATACAACTGAGAGTAATAAATCTTGTCTGATTCTAATATATAAATATAGCGAATATAAAATTGTATTTGCAATTTTTCCATCTTTTTGAACATATTAAAAAATTAATTATTTTTATGAAACTTTTTTTTCTCTATTAAAAAAATACTTGTGAATCGAATATCATTTTTGCTCTTCATCGTACACGATAATTTGAAGCCTTTTCATTTTTTATTGTAATTATTTGAGCTC